GTCCATCATGGCAAAAGGGCAAGGGATTGTTTGTCTTCTTGGGCTACTCAAAAGTGATGACAGGATGTGACAGCCTCAGACCTGTTTACTCAAAATCTGCTCTGCAGTAGGTGGGACAGATGGTTGGGACCCCCCCCCCCTCTTGCTGGGTGGGGGGGGGGGGTGGGGGGGGGGGGGGGGGAGGGAGATCTGGATCCAGCATAGAAAGAAGCACCTCTCCTCCACCAATAGCAGTCTCATTTTTCTGGCCACCAGCTGCTTCCAGGCCCCTTTGCAAGCTCCTGGGCTCAGTGGAGCAGAAGAGCTGGTCTCTCCAGCAGGATTCACTGAGCTCCTATCTGGAATGAAACCTGTGGAAGACAAGTGCCTCATGGCTGCCCTATGTTTTCTGCTCTGCCAATGAATGAAGCAAGGGGAGGAGCAGAAAGAGATGTTCCTGCACAATCAGATTTCTCTGTTACGTTTTGGAGTGATGACATGGCAAATCATTTCACTTTTAAGCAGGAATAATATGACATGGGACAAAGTGACATGGGACAACCCTAATGCAGGCACCATGCCCAGCTGTCCTCCACTCTAACCTCCTCCTTGCTGGGATTTTGTTTCTAGGCCTGCTTCCTTGATGCAGAATGAAAGCTGTAACTCAATGACAGAGCACCACTTGGACCATACGCAAAAAGCCCTAGATTTAATCCCACTGGGAAGGACTGGAAAAGCCCTGTTTGAAACTCTGGAGACCTGTTGTCAGTGATTGTACTAAACTAAGTGGACCATATTCCTTCTTTGCTTTGTCCACAGTAAGACCACTGCAATTATACAACACATTAAATCCTAAACACAGGTTAGCAAAATACAGTTGCTCAGGTCACATAACATGACATGCACAAACAAATAAACCACATTATGACATAACAGGATGGCCTGCTTCCTACAGCATGCTAAGAGATGGCTGACTTTCCATAATATGTTAAACTACAAACTACCAAGCACTTTTAATTAGGCTAAGTGTATTACGAGAACCCAATGACTGTATTTTTGGTGCTTCACACATTCCTCTGGAGTCAATCTTGCTTAATCTTGCTGTTGCTCAACATGCAAATAATTAACTATGCCAATGAAGTTATCAGGACCACATCACAGCTGCTTGCACTTGGCCAAAGGGCCAACAGAATTCACAGCAGCAGGTCATGCCATAATATTCCAACAGAGAAAATATCCCAGCACTTCAATGGAAGCTAAGGAACAGCACTGAGGAAAAGTTGGTCTCCCTTCTTTAGCAGCCATGTTAGGAATTAGGAAAGTCAACTGTGTGAGAACACGAACCATATATTTCTCCTACCAAACCCCTCAGCTCTATGAATTGAAGCAGTTTGTTTGATAGCACATGCAGATCCCAACATTACAAGTGTCTGAACATATCCAAAACCTTGGTCTTGAACCTTTAGGTTCTACATCTGTCTTCCTCATGCCCTTATTACCACATGTTTAGATTATTGTAATATAATTTACATGAGACTGCCCTTAAAGATGACAAAAAGCTACAGTTGGTAAAAACAGAGTGGCTAGGATGTTAGTGTGTGAGAGTAAGTGCGTGTAACATCTATTCTCTTGTTGTTGCATTGATTATCAATAGGCTTCTAAGTCCAATTCAAAATGCTGTTTTTGACCTATACACCCCTAAATGGCTTGACTCCAGGATGCCTCAGGGACAGTCTGCTCCTGTAGATTCAGCCCAGCCCATATGATCCCAGAGGTAATCCTTTTCTATAATGATTCCCATCCTATGGAGCATCTTGCTATGATGGTAGATCTGATATCCTCCCTATTGATCTTGCATAAGGAGGTAAAATGGTTCTTTTTAAATGGGCATTTTAGGGTTGAATGAAACATGAGATCTTATTGGATGGGCAAATTTACTGTATGTTTTGATGAGCTATATATTATGTATTTATGTGGGGGCTGAACCTGATTTGGAGAAACCCCCATCTCACTCAGCTTCTTTTTCTAGGCTTGACCTCATGCTGCTCCTTTTTTGGACAACCTGTATGAGTTATAACCAGGGTGCTTGAGCCCCTTCTTGCTGAGCCTGACACTTATCAGGGCGCAAATCTGAAGGTGTCCTGGTTCATCTCCACTCCTGCCAAAACGGTGGGAACCTTTCTCTTATCTCCTGGAAGGTCAGGATGGGTCAAAGCAAAAGAAGAATCTCTAAGTGCACCAACCAGTCCCTCTACAGTGACCCTTCCAACCCTCACAGGGCCTCACAGGGCTAGGACACAATGCCACTGGTTGACAGACTTGGAAGAGAGAAAACATTTTTCTAGGTAAGCAAATTCCCTTCTGTAAGATGCTCAGCTTAACAACAATGAAAAGTCTTAGGTGCATCAGCACCCTCCAAGCTCCATTTACATTCTCTCAGAACATTAGAGCCCAATGATATAATGAAAGTATCTGTGGTTCTCAGTTTGTTCACTCTGGAAGCATCTGATTTGCGTACCTTCTCCTAGTGCTTCTTAGCCCCTTCACTTTACGCCTTGGATGTTTGTTTGACTGTATGACTTTATTTACGGTCAAAGACCAGATAGGAGAAAAATACAAATTCCAGAAAGAAGACGATACAAAGAAGTAAAAATAATAAAACATTAAAAGAAAATAAAGCAGCAATAAAATAAGATCCAAATCAATATGAAAAAAAATATGGCCTGGTTAATATATTTTCCCCCAATGGTCACTTACGTTGATATCTTTGCCTGCCCAGTTGCATTCCTCCCTCCATTCCACAGGTGCGGGCCAATAAATCTGTGAGAGCAAAGACGGGGCAAATTAATAGCAAAACCATTCAATGCCAACCCAAGAGGGGTGGTCTTCTAGTCCAGTCATTCATCACAAAGTTGTCAAATACTATTAAAGCCCTGTACTAAAGCCATTCATTGGAATGCTGCTGGTTTCCTTAGTCCTGATCCCCAATCTCCCTGCTGTTTAAGTCCTAGTGTTATTCAGGGAAGAAGGCAGGACACTGTAAAAGCTGTGGTGGGAGGATGGACAGCAAGGCTGAAATCACTGTGAATGCCTTGTACAGCGCAGCTCATCCAAATTAATCTTACCGAATGTTGCATTTATCCATTAAATTATCCACAGGCTGTCCTTCAGCCATCAACCCCTTGTGAAAAAAACAAAGTGCTTGACAATAATCAGGATTAAAGACACCGCAAAAAGACTCTTACAAAAAGCAATAACAGCCTCAGCCCTTATTTTAAAAAATAAACAGCAAACGTGCAGAAACTGAGCAGCAAAAGAACTAATCTCTCTAAGAAGAGAGTCTCCAAACTGATGTGCTGCCACAGAAAACCGGTGCTTCATGAGCAAGGGGTCAAAGGTGGCTGTATTGTGTCCTCAGAGCGTTTCTCCTGCTGGGCTGGAATGCAGTTTCCATCGATAGTCCAGTCGAGAGGGTATCAGCGAACTCCCCCCACCCTCCACCCTATTTCATTAAGCGGGGAACCTTCTTAGAGACATTTTCTGAGGCTCATTGTCATGAGCAGAATGTCTCTCTCCCCATGGAAGAGGAGCTGCAATGAACTCCAGACCAGAGCAAGGCAATGGAGAATGAACACTTAAAAACACTTAATAAAATATTTAAATCCTACCAGATTCACGGACCCCAGCAGATTACAGCATTTAGTAGACCTTGGGTAATCTCCAAACAGATAGTGGGACCTGATTTATATAAACTGGGCCAAATATCCTCCCACCAACTTTTGTTCATTGCTCATTCCCTCTCCCCCCAAAAGGGGGAAAGGAATATTTGGGTAGTGTAACCACAACCTTGTGTCTTCCAAGGCAACATAACCACTGGTTGTGCTGATGGGGATAGCAGAGCTATAATCTAACATCCTTGGAGGAGCCAGGTTGAGGTGCAGATGCAATGCAGTACGTAAGCTTGTTACCTTCCTGTCATGCTTGCTAATGTTGTCCAAGCTCAAGGATGCCAAGTAGTTTTTTCCCCCCACAAAAAGTCGGCTCCTCTCTTCATCCAGGAGCAGCGCATCATAGCAACAAGAGCGTTCCAACTCATAGGTGCGCAGTCCATGTCGCATCTGCAGGTCTGGAGAGAAAATAGGAGAAGTTGGCCTGTTACACAACTACAGAAATATACAACTCCATTTATGTTCTGCAAGCCAGATCAAAGAAAATCAGAGGAAGCCAACCAAGCGTAGTGCAAGCCAAATAAATGAAAAGAACAAAAATATTGATGGCTTAGTGCTTTTCCTTTATGACTATTGTATACCTTGTATGCAGGGCACAAAGAGTCATACTTGTTAAAATAAACAAAACTGCAAACTATTAAGGGGGACCAGTTCCGTATGTGAATTCCAAGAGTCCTTCTGGTGAATAATTCTGTATAAATGCTACTGCTAACCATGTTCATGACCTATGAAGAATGTAGGTGTGACATTCTGCTACTTGGCCTTCGGGTCCATGGGGAGCAGTAAGAGATTATTTCTTCAAAGATAAAAACAGACTTAAGAAGATGACTGGATGACTATACTGTGATGTGTCCATATCAAAATGAAACTATGGCTGCAAAAATCTTTCAAACAAATAGAATGATTGGACAGAACTAAGAGATAATTACATTTTACTCTATATGCTAAAAGGAGGAAAAAGGTGTTCACAGTTTTACATCTCTCATGCCCTAAGCAAGACTTTTACACATAGACACACACACATACACCTTATTACACAATCAAATTATTAAAATTAAGTCAGTTAATTTAATAATAGGAAAAATGCAAAATTGAAGATATACAGTAAACTAGTATATGCAGATCACATTTTGAAACCATCCTCCAGTCAGGACTTCTGGTGGTTTGTTCAGATGTAGAAAGAAAGATAAGTTCTTCTGACCACTGTAATAACTGATGGAGAATGGAGTTCCTTGTAACATAATGTATTGTTTGTTTGTTTGAAATCATCAGCACGTGCACTATCAATTTCCATAGCCTCCTATTACCTTTTAAACCATTGGTACACAATTCAAAAGTGCATGTATATTTACAAAAAATCAATGAGTCTTTCAAAACCCCAAAAAGTCAATAATTATTGTTAATGTCAATAATTATGACACAAAACTGCATCACATTAACCCATTTTGTATTTTGAGCACCACATCTCCAACCATTTCTTCTGAAAGTATGCTCTGGTATTCAACAGACATGAGTTTTATTGAATTAATCATAATTTTAAATCTATGGAACCATGACAAAGAGATTTCCAAATGGTTTTCTGCTGACATTCATGTACCGGATGCTCAAGTTCCTTATTCTATGCCTCGCTATACTATTCTTCAACTAATTCAGCATACTGTAATGACTGTTGTAATGAATGATGATTTTATTAAATAATTTTAATAATGACTGTAGTAATAATGATGATTTTATTATTTGTAAAGGGCGTTTTAAATTCTCTAGTACTAGAAGGAATTCCAACACATGGCTGAAGGCCCATTTCTAGGATGTTGTAACTAAGGTGGCACATTCAAAATTTTCGACAAATTGTATTTCTGCTGCAACTCCTCTAATATAAAAAACTATCATCTGATCCCGTTAATTAACCTGTGGTATACAATCATCCAAGATTTCCAATAAAAGGATTGGCCTCCTATTTTCACTTTTGGATTCTCCCATAATGTTAATTTAGCAGGATCATTAGGATTGAATCAGACTTGGTGTGCTATTTCACACCATGTCTTTCTAGAAGCTAACACAACAAGGAGAAATCCATATTTTCTGAATAACAATCTCCAATTTATAAGAAGTGTTAATATGTTGACATACACACACACACACACATTAGCTAGACAGATAGATAGATAGATAGATAGATAGATAGATAGATAGATAGATAGATTTTAATAAGGTCAATTACAGCCTTTGGACACCCACAAAACTGTCCAGAGAGACCAGTTAATGGTCCCCCAAAACTCCAGTTCAGTTTCAGATCAGTTAATATTGTCACAAAAAGTCTCAAAAGCCATCAATTAATTATATTAATTTTGGTACAGAAGTTTCAGGTTTGTCAATAAAGATGTAACCCTAACCTTAGCCCTATCCCTAACTCACCACCTGAAACAGTACAGTACTTTATGTACTCCTTATTTGCAGGGGACAAACTGTGAATCTCCCCCCTGTGCAACAGCACAAGCTAAAGTTTCCAAATGCAAACCAAACAGTAAAGCAGAGAGAAAGTAGCCTGCTGTACATCACTCTCTGCTTAGAATCCCATTAGTCCTCACTAATATTTTTGGAAACAAATAATGCAGTTTCACAATTCCTGACTAAAAAGAAAAACAAATGAAAAATTACAAATAGCTACTGCCAATACATTTTATTCTCTGCATCAAAGTGTCTACAGATAAACGTTTGATGCCCTCAGTCAAGTCAGTGCCATGATCTGGCCTCTGAACCCTATTCACTCCTCTGTTTTTTATTCACACTACTCATGTTTTAGATCATCATTAAATCCTTGGAAATTCCTGTCACTTTGCTGCATTCAACGCAGCAGCCCTAAGTGTGGAAATGGAAAGGTCCCATGACCTGGACTGGCAAAGGCCCTTGGACTGCAAAGGTGTTAGGAAGTTAGCCTTTAAGCTCGCCTTCTCTCTACAAATGCAAACGGGTTCTCTATTCCACCTATTTATAGGGCATTCTGCACATTTCAAATCGCCTGTTGCTTACTAGCCAGGATGCTGTGTCTTCAGTGTGAAACATGCAAGCACACCAGCTTATTTTCTCCACCCAGCAGCCCTGACAAACACTGTCTCTTATTGGATAGCAGAAAATGCCCCTTTTCTGCCCTGAGCACTGCCTTGGGGCTCCAAGGGGTGTGTATGTATGTGCTGAGAAACGCAAGCAGAGGTATTTCTGAATCCAAGATTCATCTCACAAACAGGACCCAGCAGTTTGTGATCAACCTGCTCCAGCTTAGAGCCATTCAAGTCATTGACACAGAGCTGGCTATGGGGGAAACGGCTATTATAATCTGATTGCCCCCATCCTAAATCCAATTTCTGTCTGTATCAAATCCCATCCTAACACCCCTCTTTTCAGCCGCCTCTTTGATTGGTCCCACCAACTTTAATAGGTTACCAGTCTCAACCAGCATGACATTAATCTCCCAGCACAACAGGCATCTGCTCAGAGAAAGGACTCTTTCTTTACATCCAGAGCCTAATCTGCTTTCAGCAGCAGGAACAAATAAGCCATTGTGAGGAAGTGAAAGAAAGTGACTGGCAGGGGAGCAGTCCACCCGCTAATGAGCTGTTGCCGATGTCAATTGCAAGGGCTGACCGAGAAGTCGCAGCCGGATCGGCTGCACCAACTTATTTATTTCATTAAATTTATATCCTGCCTTTTTTTCAGGAGCAAAAGGCTGCATACATAACACGCCCAGCATCCGTTTTTCCTTCCAGTAACCCCATGAAGTAGATTAAACTGAGCTTGCCATGACTGAGGGTTCACTTGAATCTTGGTCATCCCAGTCCTAGTCCAGCCCCAGCCCCAGCCCCAGCTCCTGCCCCAATCCAAGACCTTAATCACAACTTAACTCCAGTACTGATTATGGCCTCCAACCCTTTGGCAGTGAACACATTTGGTGCAGTATGTTGAGAGATGTCACAGATGCCATCATAGTACAGTGATCATATTCACAATGTGGCTGTTGTGCTGTTTCATAGATAGTTTTTAAAAGGATGCCGGAAGGAAGGTGATTTAGAGTCTGAATCACATAACGCAGACTCTTTTAAAGCCTTCCTTCCCTCTTTCTCTTTTTCCCAACACTCACAGTCAAATCACAGGCGTCATCAGGGCACGTAGGTCCAAATAAAGTATCCATGGGTACTATGTTGCCTGCCCTTGGCACAGATAAGCAAGAACTGTCAGGTTGGCCTTCACCATCATTCTACTGCATCTTCCTTCCATAGTACCTCCTGCCTTTTTCAGGCTGCATTCTCCACTTCTAGCTAATCTCCAGATAGCAGAGTTTGAACATGTTTGGCTTCAGTGAACCATGTCACCTAACCTGGGTCTGGTCTTTCTTGTCCCTTTCTGCAGTTTTGCTTTTAAGATGATGATGATGATGATGATGATGATGATGATGATGATGATGATCCTTTTATGAAGGGGGCTGGTGGAGAGTTCTGTCCCATACATGTGCCACAGAAATTCAACAGACTGGCAGAAAAGGCTAGGAAGTTGTGGATGGAAGGTCTCTCCTCCCTGTTTTCTAGTTTGAACTAGATCCCCAAGGATTAAAACTGGACTAACACTTCAAAAATATATCCACAACCCCAAGGATGTGCTTTTCGGCTATCCTTGAGACAGGGAAGTACGCTATTTCCAAAGCTGCTGGCCCCGCAGCACCTGAGGAATGAGGCCATGAGAGGCACTGTCCTCATGCAGGGTGGCAGTTTGCTTTTTGTGGGGAGTTAGGGGCAGGGAGGGGGAAGGGGATTCTTCTTTGCTGCTTGCCTCTTTGCTCCCCACTGAGCCAAACATGAATCCTTTACCTTTGCCTTCCCTGCTCCACTCGCCTTTGCTGTCCCTTCCCCCATGTCCACCCTCGTTGGAGAACATGACAACTGCCCCCAACAGAGCAGCCCCCGGCAGTTGTTGCCTTGGGAGGATCCACAGTGTGGCAGTGATTGCTGCTGGCTTGAGGCCAACATCATTGTCTTCCAGCAAGTGTGGAGTTGGGGAAGGGGCAGGGAAGGTGAGAGGAGCAGGGAACACAGAGATCTGTGTTTTGGGGGGGGAGGGTTGGAGGAGAAAGAGGGGCAGGCAAGCAGGAGAAGAAGGGAAGGGACCAGTGGGAAGATCAGCATGGTGGGAGGCAATGGCAGACTGTAAGGAAGTTATTAGTGGAAGATGTTCTACGAGAACGATATTCCTTTGCAGCAAAAAATAACATTTTGGTTGTCAGGGAGGTTCTGGTTTCTCCAGCAGCCATAGGCCCATTTTATTTATTTATTTACTTACACATATACATATATTAACAAAGACAAAAATAATACAAGTGATAATACTATACTACTGATATCTACTACTATAATACTAATATATACACACTATATTCATAATTAAAATGAATGAAAACTTAGGGAAAAGGAAGTCTTATGAATTAGCTCCACTTAGCAAGAAAAGAGATTCTACAATAGTTCAGAGAACAGTTTAATTTCCATAGTTCGTTATACTGTTCAACTGCACTGACACATCATGATACACCTCTCTGAGTCTAGATGCAGAGAAACAGGCTGAGACCCAGTCCCAGCAAGATGGGATGGCTCTGGCCTGAAGGCTGCAGATTCCACTGAGACTCCATCATTAACTCTGAATGGGATTGCACTCCGCAAGTTCACAAATTGGGGGTCTTCTTGGACTTACAGCTCCTACCTGAGGAGCAGATGAGGCCAGGAGGGCCTTTGCAGAGCTCTATCTTTGTGCCAATTGCAATTTTTCCTGGTACAGCAAGAGTTAATCACCATCATGAGTGCCGTAATGATCTCTCAGTTAGACTATCTGCAACACACTCTGCGTGGGGCTGCCTTTGAAGAGCATTTGGAAACTACAGCTGGTCCAGAATGCAGCCCCTCTGTAGTGACAGTGCGCCTTGAGACACCTGTGTAACATCTTTATTTGAAAGCTACACTGATTGCCAGTCAGCTTCCAGGTATAATCCAAGGTGCTGGTTATCACCTGTAAAGCCCTTCATGGTTCAGGCCCTGGGTATCGATGGGACTGCTTTTTCCAGTAATATCATTCCAACTGATAGAATTCAGCAGGGCAGGCTCACTATGTGTTCCCTTGATCAGGGATTGTCACCTCCAGAGGCCAGGTAAACATAACTTTTCAGTCGCTGCCCCCCTCCTCTGGAAAAATGTTCCCTTCAGTGTGTGTCTGGGGCTTCTCTCCTGGTTTTTAGAAAACTGGTGAAAATTTGGTTGTTTCACCAAGTCAAGGGGTTAGGCTGTTGTGACTATTCATGAGGTTGTTGGATTTTCTTTTAACTATTACCATCATTGTTTTAGCTATGACATCCAGTTCTCTAAGAATATTATATATGGGTTCTTTTTAAATCAACACAGTTGTTTTAATCCCAGTTACCTATTAGAGAGTTATACGCCACTCAGAGTTGGTGGACTGGAGCAGCTCCATAAATACACCAAAATAAAAATAAATAAGCCTTGGCTTGCTGAGCCTCCATGGTTGCCCACGCTGGACAAATGAACAAGACCTCTTCAAGTTCTCAACTTCTTCTGGAAACAACTGGCCTTTGCATTAGTCTTGCTGCCTGCTAAGCTTTAGTTATCAGTTTAGGAAGAGGGCTGCCAAGAGAGCAGCTGGGTTGCTTGAAGGTTAGGTGTAGCACAAATTTTTCTATCTGGAGTCATTGGATTAGTTGGTTCTCATGCCTCTGATCAGTCTGAGATCCAGCTAAATGACCAAGATGAGCAACTGCTCCCCTTTGGGAACTGCAAGGGCAAATTGGCCAGTCTAGTCAAGATCATGAATCTTGACTTCAGTTCAACTTTAAAAAAATTTTAAGTAGGTTTCTAGAATAAAAGAAAAAACGATGGATATCCTCCAAACCCTCCTGAAATCCTCCAGGACAAGTGCCTACTTAGAATGCTTCACCTTCAAAAAGCCCATCTGCTTCCACTTCTTCCCATGTATGGTATCCTCCTCCACCTCCCATATGGACACCCTTTCTTCCCATCCAGCAATTCATATCCTTTACAGCTGAAAGACTAGGCTAGGACTTTGAAAACTGAACAATAACTTTCACGGGCCAGCAATTTCAGGGAATCACTCAAAAAGGTAAGTTATTCCAGCATGTCACCAGATTTGGCTAGTTGATATGAGTGGTGTTTGGGAGAGAGAATGAAGTCTAGCAGAAATTTTCCCTAGTGATTACATCTTCACTGGCAAATCTAACCAGAATCCCAGCATGATGCAAGGCAGAACCTACCAAAATTTGAGACTCATTTAAAACTAATTCCAAATGTGCTGATTGCTATTTGGCCACAGTAAAACCAGTTGCCAAAAAAACAAAAACTTACGAACATCACAGAATTTGGCTAAACTTATTTTCAGTAGAACAGGGTGTGTTCAAATGTCCATGGACAGATATGATGCATCTTAAGAATTCTTTTTTTAAAGTCTATGTATGCAAAAAAAAAAAAAAAAAAAGATAACTGAGCTCTGTGTAGCCTAGGCTCAGAAAGGAATAACAATTATAAGCCTCCTATATTCTTTTTTTTTTTTAAATCAGTGTTAGAAATGCATCGATTGGGGATGGCTTAGATGAACTGGGTTCTTCCTAAAAATCAAGTAAAAAAATGAGATAATTAGATAACTAAATAAATTCTATGAAATCATTACTATGACTGTATGACAGTTTCTGATTTCATATCTTCATGGAGCTGAACATCTTTGTATCTTATTTCTTGTAAAAATATCCTTTTCAGATCTTACTAATGGACTGTCTAATCGCCATTAAATACTTCCTGTTATTTTAGACCTTAGTTGAACTTGAAAATTTCGGCAGGGTTGGACCTAATCAGCACTTGTTTGGATGAGAGGCCACTAAGAAATACTAACCCTGTAAACTAGACTTGAAAGTCAAAAATAACATCCTGGAAGAAGGCAACAGCAAACTACTTTGTTGTTATGGTCAAGAAAACTATAAGGTCTGTGAAGACGTCGGAGTTGAGCTTGACTCAAAACAGATTCTGTCTTAACTTTAAGGCCACTCTCAAGAATTTGTAATTCTTTCTATTAATCATTTCCAGCAATCCAATGAATGAGACATAATAGATTACATATTATTTCAGTTAGTAACATGTTCTGAACATTTTGATTAATAGCTATCAATCTATTGTCTGTTAATCTGTCTTACTTTAAAAATCATTGTACTGCTGCCCGTGATCAGACCTTTGCCAAATCCTTTTCATACATTTTAAACCTCTGGAGTATTAACATCACCACTTAGACTCTAATGTTAGAAGCAAACCAATTTTCTACTTTGGATTTCCCACAGTGTTCAGAATGGCATAAACCTCAAGTTCTTAGGCAACTCTTTCTTTACCATAAATAAATAGATTCACACTCAGCTCAGACCTCAATGGTCCTTGCAACAACAATCAGAGATCAATGCCATTCAGTTAAGGAAATTGGCTCTATGCTTTACATGACTTGGAGGTAGGAATATGGTCCAGTTTCACTTTACTAATACAAGAATAAGGTTATTCCAGATTCTCACCAACAGCCTTTCCCTGTCAAAGCACAGGTCAGAAATTTTCTACCCTAATTACAGCCTGAAGAATTGGGATACAATTTGTGTCTCCCAGGTGAACAGCAGAGGAAGAGTGGCAAATGAGTCCTCACAAGATGCAAAACCTCTGTACACAGATTAGTAGCTGTCACATTTAGTCCCAGATCCCACAAATATCAGCTCTGTCTCCATTTACTGTTTCATAGCTCATCTCAAGAAGACTTTCCCCTTAACACGGTTCACACCATCCTAGTGACAAGAGTATTGCTCTATCAGAACACAGGAGATTCAGCAGAACCAAAGCTTGGTTCATATTTCCATTCAAGACTGAGAAACTCTCTTGCCTTCCCACCTCTTACCCCATCTTTACCATGGAAGGAGAGCTTCACACGGGGATTGGTGGTGGTAACAGCAGTCCCTTTCCCAGCCAGCAACAGCAGGAAGACCAGTGTCTGGATCATAGCAGCTGCTGCCTCTTCTTCTCTGCAAGGGCTGGACTCTGAACTTCAGGTGGCTGAAAGATGGAAAAGCAAGAGTGAGACTATGCTTGCTAGGTCAGGTTACAATAGTTCCTCGCAGAAGGATGAACGGGAAGGAGGAAGCGGCAGCAGCAGTGAAGAGGGAAATCCGTAGCTTGCTTTAGAAGGGGAAACGTTCATCTAGACCAACACTGATCTCCTCCCAGCTAGATCTACCTGGTTTTACTAGGTAGTAGAAGGCCTCATCCAGAAGCTAAGTTTGTGGCTTGAAGAGATCTTCCATAAAATGCTGTGACTTAGATCCAAACTTAATGTATTCAAACCAACAAGTATAATACAGAGCATTGTAGCAAATAAACATTGGATTTAAACCAGGGGACCCATTGAGGTTCACTGCAGGAGCTTGAATCAAATCAAATCAAATCAAACTGAAAATAAAATGAGAAAATGGAACTATGTATATACATCCTATGTATATCAACTATCTTGGTTTCTTCTTCAGTCTCCAATCTCCCTCTCTAGTGGCATCAGTAGAGAAATCCTAACACAATAATAGAGACAATGTTTTTACTATTTACTACCTTGGGAAGACATACTTGCTTCTCAGGAGCTATAGCTTTTAAGATGCAGTCTGGCAGATTCAAGGGGGTTGCCTGATAGGACTTCTTTTGAGAGGCAGAAGAAATAAGGCATGCTTGTTTTCTTTGTGCCCGATACGTGCAAAATGGTGCCTTCCAGAAGTTTTGAACTACAATTCTCACAGTCCCTTGCAATTGGCTATGCTGGCTAGAGCTAGCGGAAATTGAAATACAAAACTTCTGGAGGACACACAATTGTCTATCCTTCTCTACACTGCAGGCCCAATACTTCACTGAACTCATGTGATCCAAATTCTAGTTCATTCTGCATTCTTTTGGTTCATTCACTGCTGCCATTTTTTTTTTCACCTCTGTGCGGAGGTTATCCCCTCCATTTGGTATGTAATCTTCACCCTACTCCAGAAAGCTTGAAGAAGTCACAATGCAGATGATAACGATAGGTAGATGTAGCATGAAGTGACAACTACACTGCAGCTCTACTTTGGGTCCACTTGCAGATGCTGCTCTTCCTAGCTCTGAATCATGGTTTTCTTTCATCTAGCTATTTTCTTCCCATTCTTGAAAGGTGCTGTGGAGCCTTCTGGGTATGTATGTATGTATGTATGTATGTAACTTTTCCCCCCCGATGGGGGACTCTGGGCAGCTTACAACATATTAAAAATACATAAATTGCTCTAATATTTAATACAACATATTAAAACAATAAATAAACAGGTATCCTGTTGGGACGATCTGTTTCAGAATGCCTGCCATCTCTTGCTGTCTTCACACCCAGCATTAACAGCAGCCTACTCCAAGCCTCCTGAAGTCTTTCATTTCCTCCTCTATCAGATACCAGAAAGTTATAAATGAGTGCATAATCTGTTGTGACCATGCACAAAGAGTTACAACATAATGCATAATGAATACCTCAACTTTAAATATATCAGGCTAAAACTTGGCAGAATTATTTGCTTTGCACAGCAGACCAGGAAAACTAAGTACCGCCAAGGCAATTTAAAAAAAAAAAACTTATTTTGCCCGACCAGTGTTCTAAATCCTCCTTCTGCAGTATCTGTGTTATGCAAATCTACAACTGTGCAGATTCATTCTGTAGGAAGTACAGCAATATTTTAAAATCATAGCTCTGTGACATGGTCTGAGGAATGTTTTTATACATATACTGTATGTGGAATGACTGAGCTGCAATTAAATATGTGGAATGTGCAGTAGCTACAGGCCAACATGACTGCGGTATGTATTGCTAAGGATATTAAAAACGGTATCCAGGTGTGTTAGGAATGGGAAATCGGTTGCCATGCAGATATTGCCGAACTACAGGGCCCAGCATCCCCAGACAACCTGATTAATTATTCTTGGGTGAAATTCACCCTGAGGCTCTATATACAGGTGGTCCCCAGTTTAAGAGCGAGTTTCATTCCCAAAGTCTGTCCTTAAGTTGAATTTGTATGTAAGCCAGAACAGTATAATTGTATAATACTGTGTAAGTAGTATTGTGTGATGAACTCGAACCATTGTGTATTTAATTCGAATCACTGTGAATTTAACTTGAATTTTACTACAGTAGGCAGCTCTGAGTTGTTCTTAAACCAGGCATTCTTAACCTGGGGACTACCAATATATGCAAATAGGAGAGCTGAATCCTCTTTCCACCTCTGCTCCAAGTCAGTGTGTCAGAACACCCAGCAGCGAAAGCGAAGCAACAGCTTATAAATACAGATGTTTTCTACTTATATAAATCAGTCACAAACTAATAACACTTCAAAAGCTGTTCAGAATTCACTCTGACTCTAATAAGCCTCCAAAGAATGGAAATCCTACAAAAATTAGCTGTTGCTGTTGGCAAAATAAGAAGGTTGTAATTCTGTCCCTGAATGTTTACAACCTCTGTATTCGTATTGTAGAAGGAATAATAAAAGAGAAAGAGAAAGTGCACAGAGAACGGAACAGTTTGCATACAGTATTCCATTTTGAGTTAAATGCAAGAGCAGAAAATGGTCAGCAAAAAAATGGAGGGGAGGACACCATCAGAATTTATTTATTTATTGCATTTATTTACTGCCAGACTGAAAAAAATGGCACCAGCGGTTTACACGTAAAACATAGTAAAATCATAAAGACCAAAAAACCCCCCAAACTACTGTACCATAAAACAATAGTCAAAATGATGGCCTTTCATTTCCCAAAGGCCCTCAGGTCTTTCACTTCATTTTAGCAGATCCTGGCCTTCATTAGAGGAAAATCATGAATTGCAGTTTAAAATAAAATGCTAGTCAATTGCTAAAACGATCAGCATTATGCATTCTTTTCATGACTTGTTTAGAAAAGCAGAGGTCATTTTTAGCTTACACATATTGTCAAGCCAGGAATCTGCCAAGTAGCCTAAATCCACAAGGCAGTGCTGCAATTTTAAAAAGTCAGATATCATAGTTAGGATGACAAAGAAAATTATGTCCAGGTCCGTAGACAAAGTAGAGAGATATTTAGAGAAGGAAGGGGAGGAAAATAATCAAGAGGAGTAGCAGAAAAGGAGGGGATGGGAGAAGAATGATGTAAAAAGTCAGAGTCAGGGGAATGGCTGTCAATTGTAGATTGTGACCCTCCTCCTGCAGTGTCATGAACAATTTGGGCGGGGG